GATGGCTGCTGGTGATCCTGGTATGGCTCGTGCAGCTGATGTGCCTCGCCGTGCCTGCAATCATGAATGCGGCCATCATACACCAGTCCTTCGTTACTCAGCGTGTGCATGCACTGCCCACCTGTTCCGTGCCTAGCGTATAATTATACATAACCTGAAACGCTTGCTTGAGTGACCACATCTATGACTAATAATTGATCTGTAATCAACTTGATCTCCCCGCCCCACCCCGGCTGTGGAACATTTCCTAACGTTACTTTTGGATGAACAGCGCTACGGTGCTCGCTCGAGGCCAGACTGAATCGTGTGCATGCGTATGTGTTCGATGGAACTTCTGTTGACTGCCCATGCCCTATTGCCCGGCTCAGTGGCAACTGTGCGTTGAACTGTACCAGGGAGTCGTAAAATACCGACTCCCTGAACTGTACTGTGTACTGACTGTAAGCCGTTACCATGGTTACTGCATATTTTATTGATTTCATCTCTAGTCGTTTACTGGACACGAGTGTATGTTTGCTTTTTGTTCTTGTAATTCTATAGTATTTCAGCCATTGCCTATTGAATTATTGCAGCCATGTTGCTCTCCTTCTCTCTATGACCGCTCATTTTGCTGAACAAACAAAATTTGACCAGATGCCAGCCCAAGTATGCTGCATCCCCGAGTTACAAATCGTCCAACCTTCGTCAATATTTTACTACTCCTTTGCGTGCATAAAATTTTATTATCTTCACCCAGATCTCTTGTTCATACTGTACAGATTCTACAGCGTAACAGTCAGCTTTATCCGGCTGAAGTTGTAACGAATGAGTCCTAACTTCACACTCACTGTCATTGCTCTGGTAATCTAGTGGGAACCAGGGAGTAGTAAAATACATACTAATACTAAAGTCTTTGTTTTACTACTCCCTGGTGGGAACTACTGTCCAAGGCTGCGTTGAAACAGGGGGGGGGGGGGGGGAATACTACATGTACCGGTACTTAGGCTGCGTTTACACGACAACGCTGGGGTTGAAAACGCAAGAAAATCCTTTCGGATCCATGGTTCATTTACACGGTACGAAGAGCAAAACGTAAAAGTTGTACACCAAAACGGAAGAAAACCAAAACGCTGGCCAAGGTGGAAGAATTTGAAAACGGAAAAGTTCTGCCGGATAAATTTGGGTGTGTAAACAGTCGAAACGGTATGCTGGCCTCGTTTTCCGTCACGTGTTTTTCGTTTTCGGCCGTTTACACGGATCCGACAATCAAAAAAATTGTTTTTATAATTTTCGTCATGTGACGAGTGTTGTTTTGTGGCCTATTCCTGGAGTGTGATTGGTGCTTCCACGACAACACTTGGCACATGACGAACTTTTGCGGATCCTTTGCTCCCGTGTAGACGCGCGAAAACGATACAAACGGAGACCACCTCGGATCAGCTTTGATCGTGTAAATGCACGAAAACGAAAAAAGAAATGCGGGACTGAAAACGGAAAACTGGCCGTGCGTTGTCGTGTAAACGCAGCCTAAGGCTGTGTTTACATGAGAAATTTCAACCCGGGTCGAGTTCAGCCCGGGTTGAAAGTCTGTACGATAGACAAAAGAGGTGAGCGTTTACATGAAGACAGTTGACCCGGGTCAAATACTGATATGCCGCCAAAAGTCCACTTCTACAGTCCTGTATGGTCACGTGAATCCGTTCGCGCGAAATTAAATTTGCATCTGCAGTGCTAATATGCCGTTCAAACCTGGCGCGAGATACGCACAGAAGTACGTTTGTACGATTTTCTTGACCCGGGTTGATTTCAACCCTCCCCTTGGGGGGAGGGTTGAAATCAACCCGGGGCGAAATTTCAACCCGGGTCAAGCGCAATGCGTCATGTAAAGAGGTATATTAGAGAGGTTCTGCTACACGGAACTACGTACCAAATTCCGTGTCAACTGCAGTGCAGTTTGACACGGATTTTTCCTACGTTGCACTGGTTCTGCTGTACGTAGCATGCACGAAGCATGCACGAACACCCCGCCACATGTACTCTGTACGCTCACTTTTCACACGGAGTCCAGTCCGTGTGAAGCGAGCTTCACACGGAAAACGGTATGAAAAAATCCGTATCAAACTAAATCCCGTACCGCGGCGAAGTTTCCATACGTACTTTGGCACGTTATACCGTGTGGCAGAACCTCACTAATATGTATCAGATTGCAACGACCAGGAGGCTCTAAGTAGTATAGTGGCTGCAAATGACCGATATCCGTCACTTGCAGCTGACCATCAGAGACCTGTAGCTGGCCTGAAGAGTTGTAAAATTACTCCTTCGTAGCCGGGCGAGTCCGAGCGAGGGCGATTCACGGCTTGGTCAAAAAACTGTCGGCCTGGAACGTCAACGTCGATCTGCCGACACATGTTCACCTGGTTCACACGCCTGACCTGGCATGCTGCCTTGCGTGAAAGGAACATTTTTCCGAAAGCAAGCTTCTTCTCCAAAATTCGAAATTTCCTTCCAAAAATGCCGTCGTCCTTGACCTCGAAGCTGAATGTTGTTAGGATAGAAAATTAGCGAAGATGTAGCCGACCCATTCTGGCAAGCTGTGTGCCCTCTGGATATGCAGTTGTTCGCCATGGTCAACAATCTTCTTCTCCTTCGTTCGTACTTTCACTTTCCTGACCACGAATACAAGCGGTACCCATGCTCAGGTTAGTGTTTATTTGTCTCTCTATGCACATACATGTAATATAATGTACTGTTCGTGCTGCAGGCACTGGCCGATCATGGGAATAGAGGAAGCAGCCAGCTTTCTTTGAATTATCGTGCTTTCAACAAAAATATGTACACACTTTCCTTGGCTCCTCTTTCCCACCGCCACCATGCATGCACAATCGAGCTTGCTTTAATGCCCTGCAGTGCAGAATGCTCCCACCACCGCAACCACCACCAGCAGCACCACAACCACCACCAGCAGCACCACAACCACCACCACCACCACCACCACCACCATGACACCACCACCACCATGACCACCACCACCACCGCCGCCGCCGCCACCACCACCACCATGACCACCACCGTGACCACCACCACCACACCACCACCGTGACCACCACTATAGAAGCATTGTCGTGCACGGCACGTCTGCAAGAGAAAATAATAGTATGCCAGTGCTGTAATGCCCTGCAGTGCAGTATGCTCCTGCACCACCACCACCACCACTGTGGAAGCATTGTCACGCACTGTACATCGATCCACAAGAGAAAATATGCCATCGGCTTACTAGCACCTCCATGCTGCATGCGGACCTGGACACAGCACTGTTCCCTCTGCAGGAATGGGGGCGGGGGTGTATTTCATTGTCCCTGCCTGAAATAATAATGACTACATGATATGATGTCCAGCTAACTTTGCCAGTAACGAACGACCCTTGATCGGGCATGAGAAAAGTGTTGCTATTTGGGAGTTGTCGTCATTCACGGGGTTTATAATATACGGCTATATTGTTACTAGGTCTGAAGATAGTGTCACTATCCGTGGGTTGTTATACCCGTGGTTGACTGCAGATGCATTTGGATTATTCTATGAGTATATGAAGGGTATACGTTAAATATTTTCCCGAGGACATAACACGAGGAAATTATGGGGAATGCAGTGCATGTATACAATGGTGCTATCCATTTCTCCCAGGGCACTTTCCCAAGACTCCTCCCAATATTCACTCTTGGCGCGACCCATGTGAACTGAGCGGGGTGTATCGTTGAATATGCCCCTCTCAGAACGTCTACTGATTGGCTGAAATTGCCCAAATCATACCGTGCCATGGATCAATGCATGTCAGGGAGGGAGTCGTAGCACCCAAGGAAACAACACGAGATCATGATACCCAAAATGATGTACTGTAAAAGCAGAAATTTTCAGTGGTGTTTTATTTTCGGTAACTTCGGTGCCGACAATTTTTACCGAAAAAATGCACCGAACTTTTTCGGTACTACTGAGTAGTACTAGCACCCTTACCTGGAGAGCGGGTATTACCGAAAATTTCCCTCCATCGAACCGCCGATTTTGGAGAATTCTGAAAATATTGCACCACCGAAAATATCTGCTTTTACAGTACACAGATTGGATCCATGGAGATTCTACATGATCTGTGGTTTATGCAACTCGTGATCGCGGACTTGACCCACTGGCCCCAAGCATGGGTCAGTCAAGCGATACTATATGCGAGCATGTATGTATCGCACTTGCCCCTAAAGCAGTTAGGGCAACTGTCACTGGCAGCCTGGGGTTGAACCCACATTATCAATTTTTGAAATTTTCTAGGGTGACACGAAAAGCTTCACGCACTGGGTGGTCACTCTCTATTCATGTATACCACTCTGCCAATAGTGCATAGAGCTCTCTTTTGAGCTGCCCAGCTGGCCCTCGTTATGATTTAGGCTGAAAGTCTACCGTGCCGTCTCCCTTATGCTATGACTCCATAATGCATAAGTACAGAAGAAAAAATCCCGGGGCTCCGTTGATGAAATTCTGTTTTGTCATGTGAGCATTTTTGATTATTGTGAATGGCGTGTAGTGCCGTAGTACAGTTCCTTTTGCTACATAACGTTTGCACAAGTCACGTTTCAGCAATTGAACTAGGAAGATCTATGTCTCTGATCTTGTCATTTGGCTCGGCTGGTGCTGTGCATTAACAACCATTGTCAGGCACCCTCGAAAGACCAACAGCGATGAGTTCATGACCCAAGCATTATTTGGGCCGTTAAGTTGACTAAACGGGAGTGTAGCAAGCTTTGATCGGCGTACTTCCTTCCGTACGTAGTG